GATTGTTTGATGGAACGGGCGGGGATCGTTCACGGGAACTCCTATAATAAGTATTTGAATTTATTTTTTTCTCGTTTTTGAAAAACATTGAATCGTGTATAACATGTTGTCTCATATCCCTTATCAATCATCTCTTATCACTAACCTCTTATCTCTAATCGCTTATCTCTAACTGAAAGTGAAAGTGCAACGTGAAAATTGCGACATGACATTTATTGTACACAGCCCAATAACATAAATTGTCTATGTTAAAGAGAAAAAACAATTATCTGTGTGTTGTTACCAAAGAAACGGTTTGAATGCGGAAACCCCTTTCCCAAGCCCTGTCGAATCGTGAATTTGAGCTGTTATGAACAACATAATCAAACAAATCAAAAATATCTAAGACCGCCCTGTGTAAAACGGACTGTAGTTACTATTTTTGGTAGAAATAAATTTGGTTTAGGGCGCTGCAAAGGAAATAAACCGTTTTTTTCACGACCGCGTACCACTTTTGGTCGCACTCATGACTGATACATTCTAAAAAAGACATCTCCAAAAGCGGATCAATAAACGCAATATTTACCTTGGCTATTGTGCACGGTGCACATTATGTTACTGCCGAATATTAGAGGGCGCTAATGAAGTGACGGGAAGTGGTTAGCGCTAACCCTAACACCCCAGGGATATGCGTCTACGGGTGTACTCTTTAGTGTTTTGCGGTAGGCAGACGTCTAACCCAACCATAAAATATCGAGAACGTTCGTGCTGCAATTATTGAAATGCATTACAGCAACAAGTAAATTATTAAGACCCCTGCAACAAAAAAAATAGCATCGCATCGAAGCTAAAACCAGCAGGGATCCACCGTAGTCGCTGTCGTTTCCACAAGTCTGACAACAATAAGAAACTGTTTCACCAAGTAAATCATTTTAACGGTTCTAAATTATTTCTGCAGACTGAACTCAATTCACCAGTCGCATATGGTCATCAAAAATCTGACTTCCACTTAACGCATTGATTAGTGCAAAGTTATAATATATCGTTTATTTGTTTGTTATTTAATTAGTGGGGAGGTGTTAGATTTGGTACCCTTTCTTTAAATTGTCACCCTCAAACCGAATCCGCGCGTTACCGAGCACTTAAACTACTAGGCTTTTTAAAAATAACATCTATCGACTGCACATTTTCTGCAGCATTAAATACATCATATTGCTCCCAGGTACTAGTAACGGTCTTAGAATATATGGGCTGTTTCATTTGGAGAGTCTGTACGTAGGAATAATGGCTCTAACGAGGCCAAGTAGCCCAAAACCTTTAAGCGGTCACCCTCTAGCCCGTCGGACCGGCCCATTGCGCTAAAACTATTATGTATCTCGAGGAAACTTATTACTATATAATTTTCCAGTTTAATGTATAGACTTTACCAGACCACAGCGATAATTATCTATTGATGGATTTTCCCCGCATCGCGCAATCACTATCCCCCAAACGGGAATAGGTGTTTTGTGTAGGAACAAACGTAATAATAATAATATTATTATGTCGTAATTGCGGTGTATGGGCGAACGATTCATCGTAGAAGTCTGATGTAGGCGCTTGAACTTAAATATTTACCGCATATAAGAAACTCACAATTTCCAAGATTATCGACAATTTTGCCGGTACACGTCCGATAAAGCCGTTCAAAACGAAATCCGTCTGTGACGTCGAGAATATGACATTTCTCTACATATCTGCTCAACATGGCGTGTCTCCTTGTGTTCCTCTAATCTCCCTTCATCCGATTAGCCACAGTGCAGTTCATTTCATCTCTTGTCGGATTCCCATCATTCCGCATTCGTCCAACTCAAAAACCTTGTAGGTCGGTTCACTTTTCATCTTCTTACATATATAGTTGGCTCACAACTACCGCCCCGCTCTCACCGTAAGTAAGTACATTTATAATTAACGCATAACAGTTTCAGAGCCTATCTAACCTCGAGGTTAGAGCCTTAAGTACCTGCACGTAATCCTATCATCCGTCTCGAGTAGAATTATTCATCAATCGCACTGATGCACATTTTCCTTTGGCTCCCGAAATTACACCGTTTTGATCAGGTCAGGTCGGGTTAAGTTAGGTCATGATATGCACGTCGATCCGATTACACTTAACACTATTGAGGGGGGCGATTTTCAATTAGACAAATTGATAAATAGATTTTTCACTATAACACACACGGTTTTAAAGGGTCGTTTTTATACATCAAATTGAACACTTTAAAATAATACTTTGAACTTGTGTAACTTAAACATACACTAAAACAATTATTTCATTGGTAAACATCTCTCCTCTGTGACATGAAATTGGATATACTCGAATCCTAGTGATTCTGATGATGAACAATTATTTCCAATGATACTCTAATTTAATTTTTATGTACGCCTATTAACTTTTAAATAATATATTGCGCTCTCTTGGGATATTTTAATACCTAGAATGGAATATAATGTAGACACCAAGTGTGATGTTTTATTAAACATAATCACAATGCAGAAACAACGATATTTAGAGCTAAAATACCTATTATAAAATCGAAAGATAACAACATTTTAGAGACAATGTCATATGCGAATTTTGAAAATAACAACGTGGAAAAAAGTTATAACTACTTTAAACATAGAGTAATCAAATAAAGGGTCGAACTTACATATTATACTAGCTTGTATGCGACAGTGAAGTAAACAGAAGGACCAAAACCAATATGACCACACATAAGGAATAAAAAACTCCTCATTGTTAAGCGATTGGTATTCCGTATGATAAAATACGTTTTTGCCTTAATTAATCTTAAAATATTTTTGTTTTTTTTAAGATACTGTTATCATTGATATGACATCACCAAGATATATCGAACGGTATTTTTTTCCTTCTAACAAGGCGGACTGACTTTAGTCCTACTGTTGGCGTCACATTAAAACTACTATAACCACCGCCTGACTTGAAAACAGTAAAAAAAAATGCGATTTTAAATGTTAAATACTTAGCTAAATGTTAAATTTATCAAAAAACGGATATGACATTGTGTGATGCATTTGTTAACGAGCCTATTAGTCACCAGGCGGGTTTTGTTTGCCAACAAATAGTTTCTGACTTTAATAACCCACTAGACTCAATATTTGTTGTGTACCGATTTCATAAAAAGTAAAAATGCTACGTTACATGATACATAACGAAATGTTAGGTTAGGGTGATGATAACACCTTCATATAGTTGATAAATCATAGAAAAAACAAGTATCGTGGACAAAACATTAACTGTTCACAAAATGTCAGCCTTCCAAGTACTAGAGGACATTTCCATAAGCAGTCGATTAGGTATAAGCAATGCGCGTTCCATATTATATTGAGTTCGGTGGTCTATATCGACATTCCAACAAATAGAAAGCAACAGCAGAATTTTCAATGTTTTTTTTATCGTGCAACAACAACTTTCTAAAAAAAATACAAATCTTTCCAAGAAAAAAAAATCGCTTTCGTTGGTGGAAAATGTGTGATTGGCTCTCGCGTGGGCGTTTCGGGCTCATTGATTTTTTTTTCTGTTCACTCAAGATGCAAACGGTTGTCCACTATTGTAAGACGTAGTCAACAGTATTATAGGTTAATTAAAATTAAAATTAAATATTTGAGTAAAAATAGAATAACGTGCAGGCAACGGAAATATTTTAGTTTTCTACTTGCACGCTGTTTATAAGTAGTCTTGTTACTTCGAAATGAGATTTTTCATTTAAGACTACACAACGCGGATTGCTTACTTTTAAATATTAGCTCTAAAGGCTAAATTGCATACCATTGTGTGTATATTGTGTGCATTGTGTGAACTTTAAAAAAAAAATTTACCTAGACAAATATACTTTAAAAAAAAAAAAAAAAATTAATATCATTCGTTTTGGTATATATTAGTGCATAAATTTAATTGTGTACTCAAGTTCAATATTGTTTTACTATTTTTCCTAGAATAATAATAATATGTTAAAAATAGATAAAATATTTTAAAACAAAGTGTTGTTGGCAAAAGTAGGTATTTAGACATTTGTTTTTCATACTTGAATATGATTTCTTAAAAATTGAATTGGATCAAAACGTACTACTTTTAACCAATAGGTACTACATTATGCTTTGATCGTTGGAAATGGTATGTTTTCAATGTAATTTTTCCAAACCGTCCTATTTTTGTTTAATATTATATTATTTAAACTAAATAAGTATAAATATTTCAATTAAATCGAGTAAAAACACTTTTTTTATTAAAATGTATCTATTATGGAAAACAAATTGAAAAGCGAATAACTTACAAATCTATAATATTATTTAGTATCTACTAATTAAATTTATCTTTATTTCTTTGAACTAAGTAAAACAATACACAAATAAATGTATAAAAAATTAACATTTTACTATAAAATGTTATACTCCAATAAATATGTTTATGTGTGCAGTGGGCGCAATTAAATAGCATTCAGTTTGAAGCAAATATTGATTATATTGCTTCATTACTAAAAATAATTTATTAATCAAAATGAATCGTTAAAATTATTAGTACCTACCTAAATTCAGAAATCCCAAAACAATTTTTGTTGAGTAAAGTTGTGCGAAAACAATATATTTATCGGTTTAATTGATATTAAATTACACTTATGAATTTATTAACTATGCCATTGTAAATAACAATAGATTACCTACCTGTCGAAATACATAATATAACAATGAAATGTAAAAAACCTGGTGTTTTTAAACTAATTTACTAATTAAACTAATACTTTCATATACATTTTTAAATTTTTTGCTCCAATGTTGATTCCCAAAAAAATTGCCACCCAAAACAATTGCTCCCCCCTCTTGTTCCCTGTTAAACGCGTCTCTGCAGGAGGTTACCATAATTATTATTACACAGTAAACATATACCGGAGGTTACCGTGGTTGGTTTGTTGTTGTTTCTTATCAGTTCCGGTTATCACTTATCAAATTAAATAACGATAAAAACAAAATATTAAAACGTTTCAAAACGTTTGGGAATTATTTTTTAAATATTTTTGTAATTTTTCATAAACAATTTCGAACCCAGCAATGTTGTAAGCGTCCAACGTCGTCGTAGCCGACAATGTTCTATCACGTGAGTTCATTTTTGTCACACGGCAAACCGTCGAAATTCAAAACCTCGAAATTGTTTTAAACTAGAATATTACTCGAAAAAAAAGTAATATTCTACTCGAGTTATGAAAACAAACACATTTATTGATTGCCTTAATAATGCAGCGCTGTTTCGGTTGTAAATCAGTTCAACCGTTGTTGGACCATATCTAATACAATGTAACGCTATTGATATCGTCAAAACGTTTCAGATCGCTTTGGAACACGACGTTCTGCTGCATCCTCGTTACTTTGGCCCGCAGCTGTTGGATACGGTCAAACAAAAATTGTATCGCGAAGTCGAAGGCACGTGCACCGGCAAGTAAGACAGTTTTCCTGCAACAACATATTAATTTGTATTTTTTAAATATTGTACGATAAAGATGAGCCGCTCAACTCTAAACTATTAACTTGTTGAGTGTATTTTTCAAATACACAAGTCGCATAGAGTCTCCTTTTACCGTTTTACTTTGTATTTTAGGTACGGTTTTGTGATTGCCGTCACGCACATCGATAACATTGGCTGCGGCCTCATACTGCCGGGACAAGGATTCGTCGTGTATTCGGTCAAATACAAAGCCATAGTTTTTCGGCCATTCAAAGGCGAAGTGCTCGAAGCCGTGGTCACCCAGTTGAACAAGGTGGGAATGTTTGCCGAAATCGGACCCCTCTCGTGTTTCATATCGCATCACGTAAGCAAGTATACAATAACTCTTACATTGTAGTGCAGGTTTTTTATTTTTCTTTCAAACAAAACAATGCCGATAACAATTAATACCAAACAAACTACGATTGAGACACGCTCTTTTGCTACTAAACTATTCTCTTTTTAATTTCAGTCGATCCCGTCGGAACTGCAGTTTTGTCCAAATACGTCTCCGCCTTGTTACAAGTCCAAAGAAGAAGTAAGCGTTTGTTGGCTAGTGTAAATTAATTATTTTGTTTCAACAATCGTCCGTGTTTTTGTTTTAGAACATTGCCATACAACCGGAAGACACTATTCGGCTGAAAATCGTCGGCACGCGCGTGGACGCTTCAGGAATAGTGAGTTTAAGTTCTTGTAAAAATTTTATTTTAAAGGAGGTTTATTTTCCTGCCACTTTTATTAGTCTTTGGTTTGATCTATGCTCAATTTATCTTAGTTAACACAAATTATGTATAATGTTTCTTTTTCTTTTTTTATCGTTGTACAGTTTGCAATCGGTACTCTTATGGACGATTATCTCGGTTAGTATTCACCACTTATTTACTGAAAAAGGAACTAATTGAATAAATAATTGTATTATAAATTTACTCGACTAAGTACATTTGTTAATCATTAAATGTTTTTTTTTCCAGGTTTGATTCATTAACAATCCCCGACAGACTCGATTTCCACAACTGAAACTGCAATCGTATTCCTATTTTTATTTTTATATTTTGTCGCTCTTTTTTTCTAATAAACGAAAAAAATTATTTTTATTTATCAAAATGGACTTGTGTGAATTTTTTGTCTAAACTTAGATTGCGTTTAATTTAATCATTTTCCACGTTAACATCGATCACTTGTCGTGTACACGCACCAAACATTGGTCAGTTAAAAAAAATTGTGTTTAATAAAAAAACATAATAAAAGCTATAGAAGTGCAATAATCAGTTTGTAACAAGACCCAATTTCTTCAATTGGGTAGTTTATTTTTCCATTTATGAAACAGTTAAAAAGTTGTACAATAAAAACTACCACTGTAAAAACATCAAACAATTATTATTATTTTTTTTGGTTTTATTCAAATCCAGTTTGAACCGTACCAAAGCAAAACGACACAGTTGAGTTGTTATTGTAAATAGTTCTACAAGACATAATATTATCATCAACTAATAAATATCAATAGTAATAATATAATTATTGAAAACAAATGTTGTACAGATTAAGTTAAATTCAAATAATGGATTAAATATTGTATTTCGTTGGTTTATCTTTGATTTGAAAATAGAAAAACAATGGTTAAACACTGCCAAGAATAATGTTATAACATATTTTTTGATAAAGAATATTTCCAAAACCGTCGGGGTTAGGTTAACGGTTAGGGATACGTCGAAACAAACACACATCTTATTAATAACACCAGTATTACATATTTTTAAATATTTGTACTGTTTTAGTGGCATTCCAGATGGAATTTTGAGAAATTAATAATTTTCAACAGCACAGGCCTTGGAATCGCATAAAATTAAGTCAGTTTAAAAAATACAAAATATTACAATTTATTGTTAAAAGCAGTTTTATACTATAAGCAGTTTTTCTAATTTAAAAAAACAACCGTATCAATAAATTACTTTTATTAATAATTGGATAATAATCAATACAATCAAACGTGGTTACATTGTACGCGTCAGGTTTTTTGAATTTTAGACACGAATCCCGTTAATAACATCGCTAATACAGTAAGTACACAATTACTTATATATTACAATATTATTCATATCATAATATACAAACAGCTGAAAATACACACAAACAATAAACGGTTTCTTAAAAAAAAAAAAAAATTATCAAGTTAGTTCTTTGATTACAATATACTATTATTTCTTGACGGATAAATAATACAGCGTGGGAGTATTAAAAGCCCTTTACAATAATACGATGAAAATAAAAAAAGCCAAAGCAGGCCTGTCAATTTTGTTCTCGACATTAATTTTTCAATTGCCGATAATTTTCTCTTACAATTAAAATATTATACTTGTGTCGCTTTTGATTATTAAAATGAAATAGACAGTGGGAAACAAAAATCGGTTTTAAATGTAGAGGGATATTAACAACGGTCGTTGTTACGTTAATAGTGGAAATAATCGATTTTAAAATAAAAACATAACCGGTTTTTTTTTTTTTTTGTATAATAATAACTATTTATATCCCTAAAGCGGTTAAGTCTGGGAGTAGCGACGATAGGGGTAGTAGATACGTTAAGTAAGAAATAATAATGTACTTGTGATAATATCGTTATTACAAACTAGACAATAAGACAACCTTGGCGAATAAAAAGGGGAGGGGAGAGACAAAAGAACTATTTAAGGGTGGTATTCTCGCTCGAACACACAGTAAATTGGTCGTTAAGACGTCGCCACTGTGGCCGTTGCCGGTGGCGACGGTCCTTTGTCCGAAGAGGAACCACCGGAAGAGCTGCCCGGCGGAGGCGGCGGCGCTACGATGGGTATGGCCAAGTTGACCCTCCGGGGTGGCGGCTGCTGCGGTTGGGGTTGTGGCGGCTGTTGATAGTAAGTCGTGGCCGACGCAGGAGCCGCTGCTGTGTGTCCGGCCGCTATCATGGCCATGTAATTGGCGTCCTAAAGAGGGGGGCAAGAAACAAACTGTTAATATTATTCAATTATCTAAATTCAAGCGATGGTTTTTTTTTTTACTCATAATTCATTCAATTTTTATCGAAACGATACATTGAACAAAATACTTAACCGCAAAGACGGTATTAAGAAGATATACAAATATAACATGGGCGCAGACAATGTCGGGCACTTACGGTCATGTAGGCAGCCGGCGGGGGTTGTGCCGCTGCGGCGGCTGTCGGTGTGTAGTTGATCAGTTGGGGTTGATAGGCAGCTTGGGCGGCGGCTGCCGGATTTCCGAACGACAAGAGCTGCAATGCGGCGGCGGCAGCGGCAGCTGCGGCCGCAGGGTTTGGCTGTTGTTGCTGTGGATCGTCTGTGGCTCCTGTGGCGCCGGCGGACATCGGGGCCGGTGCATAACCGTGCATGGCTGCATCAATAACACATACGGTATTAGTAACGAGAAATAGCTATTTACAGAAGAAGCGATAAGGAGAGACAAATAGGTGAGGGTTCGTTACCTTGTTGCTGTTGCTGCTGGGCCATGTGGTGAGTGTGCGGCTGGTGGTAAGCCATGTGGTGATGCTGGCCGAGATGGTGAGCGTGATGGGCGGTGTGGTCGACGATCATCATGCCGTTGTTCAAATGGTGTTGCTGCTCGACTATCATGTTGTTGTACTGTTGCTGTTGCTGTTGGAGCTGTTGTTGTTGCTGTTGCTGCTGTTGTTGTTGTTGTTGGCAATATGTGTTTTGTTGCTGCAGCTGTTGTTGTTGGATTTGTTGCTGCAAGTTTGGCTGTTGGATCTGTTGTGGTGGTTGTTGCAGCGGCGTAGGTTGCTGTTGCTGTGGCGGCGGCACTTGTTGTTTGTTGGCGCCAAAGTTCAACACGGGATCTGGCAGAGTCCGTCGACTCTGAGTCGTGTACCGCTTGGAACTGCGTACCACCACCGGTTGTTGATCACCGACTGCGGCAACCTGAGCTGCTGGTTGCGGAACCCCCACCATAGACTGTTGTTGTGGAAGCGGCGGTTCTGGATTGTTGAAGATCGTCGACTCTTTCTTGACGGCACCCAAGGCGCCGGAAGCGCGATGATGCGAATACCTGTGCGACTGAACGGCCGCCGGTGGCGCTTCCGGTTCGCCGCCAGCGTGATCATGCTGGTGATGATGGTGATACGGTGCCGGCACGTTGTTTGGTCCGGGTCGGCTGAAGTATCGGTCTTTGTTCAACGGCGGCGGACCGCCAGCATTGCTGTGGAAACTGCGACTCTTGTTCATTGGCGGGCCACCGGGAGGACCTCTGTGATCGTTGTGGTGATGAGGCGGCGGTCCTCCTCCACCTTCTCTAACGGGACGTCTCTGGAAGGACGAATCGTTGCGTCTTTGGAAATGGTTACTGCCGCCATCATGCTGGGGGGCAGCATCTCTCCTAAAGAAGTTGCCGCCGCCGCCTCCGCTTCCTCTTCTCGGACCGTCTTCGTCACCGTAACTGTGAGGTTTTTGATTTCTACGTGGCGGTCCGTCGGCCGAACCGTTGTTGCCAGCAAAATCTTCGTGTCTTCCCCGCCTGATCGGTCCATCGTAGCCACCGTCTTCCGATGGACCGCCTCCACCTCCTCCGTACTTGCCGCCAGTCCTATTACGAGGCGGAGGACCCGAACCGAACGACCTATTGCCACCGCCGCCGCCGGAATAACTCCTGTGGGCGTTCCGGTTGACCGAGGTGACGTTTTGTGGAGGTCTATCGTCCGTCTGCGATTGAACACCGGAATTTGGCGACCGGTTGGCCGTGTCGCTATTAATCACAGAAACTGACGGTTGTTCGACCGGTTTTTGTTCTTGGTGTTGAGACTGTTTGTCGCCGTTGTCTCCATCAACCGGTTCGGTCTTATTGAGCGCGTCCGGGAATTCTTTGGAGTAATCGTTAGCCTCAGAGTCCGGTTTAAAGGGTTTCTTTTTGCCGAATTTTTTGTTAGCGCTTCCAGGCCCACCGCCAGGTCCTTCCTTCTCATAGGCTTTTGAATCTTGCCAGCTTCTCGTGTATTTGTTGTTGGCTCCACGGCTGTAATAAAATATAATATTTAATTAATATAAAGAAGAAATGTATATTTATTGACTTGGGCTTACCCGTATTTGTGATGGCGCCTGGCTTTGGGCGGTTCGGTTTCCACGCGGATGTTGTACCCGTAAGATCGCACTAGTTCGGCCGTCGACTTGGGGCTCTGCTGGTGTTCGTCGTACTTGTCGTGCGACCACCTGTCCACCTGCTCGGAACGGCTCTTTCGGGTCGGCTTGCCATCGGCTGTGCCCACTGACGAGCCTCCTCTCAACGATGAACCCGGAGAAGATCCACTGCGTTCAGCTGCTGCCGATTTGGATATCAACAGCACCTTTTTGTTCTTCAACCCTTCACCGACTCGGTTCTGCGTGCCACTATCAACGCCGCCGTCTTCTTTTCCGGCACCACCGCTCTCATCTCCTTCGTACGCCACATCGTCTTCGTACTCCTCTCTGGAACAAATTTGAAAATGTTTTAAAGGTCACAATTTTAAAAATTTAATTTCAAAATTACTAACAGCATGTAGAAATAATATCAATTACCATCAATATTAAATAGCTTATACAAATTATTAATACATTTTTTAATAAATATATTTAAATATGTGAACAGGAAATTTTGGCCACACACTATGAATAAATATGATTAGCTGCTTTTCCATTTTTTCCTATCTAAACTATCCTACGACTCAAGTTGGACCAAATTACACACAGTGTAAAAAATATCAGTTAAGTAGTTTCGGAGTTCATCGCTAACACAAACATCGTGACTCGAGATTTTTATATATAAGGATATTTATTAAAAATTGATTTAAACAAAAACAATTATCTTTAGCAAATAAATAAATTGGGACTCGATTAACAGTTCTTTTAAGTTATATTTTAAGTCTTTTATATACAAATTTGATAAAAATGAGATAAAAGTTTTAAAAACACTTTTCTGTTTGAAAGTTTCCAAATTTAAGTTTGTTTTATTGAAAAATGATATAAACAGAAGTTTTTCCTCGATGATGTGATCTATTAATTGCTTGTTCAAACATTTTGTAAGATTACAATTACGGATTTTTCTTTAGTTTTCATTTTTATCAAGTAAAATTGTAAATATATATTAAAAGTGTCTGTAAGATTCTGGTTTTGGCCGTAAAAAAATATCCAACTTTCACCTGATATTTATAATTTTACTTAATAAAAAATATATACAAATATGACCTTAACGTAATGTTATGTTGCCGCTAAAATGTCGGTGCACAACCTACATGTCGCTAATTTTCGTTGTAAACTAAAGAACACCCCTTTTAAAGTATCATAGTATTATACTTAAACAATGAACCTAAGAAAAGAAAAAAATTTGGTCAAAACACAAAGGTTTTGGATAATAATAATAAAAAAAAATGGTAAAGAAGAAAATTAATTTTTACAAAAAAGTTGCTCGACTATTATTTAAGTTTTTTAGGTTTACCTAGAAAAGCTTGTCATAATTTAATCGAAAGTTGATAGGCCAGTTTAGATAAATGGATATTTATGACACTAATATATGCTATACAAAGTTTCAAGAATATAATCTTGAAAGGTTTCTCTTTTAAGAATTGTTGTACCTTTACTCAATGTAAATTTTAGCCCATGAAGTTAGACAAGAAGGCGCAGAAAATAACGTTATTTTAACCTTTTTTTTTTTTTTTTTAACGTCTACAACTTTACTCAAGTGTTTTTCAAGAGTCACTTTGTTTCTTAAATAATAATTATTTCCATTAGAGCATTATACTTGAATCAATTTTCTTTTTAAGGATTTCAAATTTGTTATATTTGTTTTTAGATAGACCTAACCTAACCTAACCTTAGGTAGACTAACGTTGGTAAATTTTAAATGAACGTTATTTTTATAGTAGCAGCAGTTGTACAAGTCGTCCAAAAATATTATTTATAAAATTGCCAAGGAAACAATTTTTAAACAACCAGTTCTAAAGATTACATTTGTTAGGTCTCATGTATTGTAGGTACGAATAAACTGTTAACCACATTAACAATATAGGTAAGATAAAGAATGGACAGTATCGCATCGATGTACTCACTCGCTGCCGGAAGTGCTGTACGCCATTCGGTCGTCGTGTTCGTAGAACCTGCCACGTCTGGGTATGTATTGCGGATCATTGGTGTCGTCATCGACGCTGACGGGCACTGCGGATTGTCCCTGATCTTTCGTTTCGCCGTTCTCCTGACGGAAACACATAACAATCGTTTAACGGACACGAATAAAATCACCCAGTTGCGAGTTATACATGGTAACTACTGATTAGACACTTCACAAGACATTATTTTATAGAGTTTACCTTTTGGGTTTAAATTTTAAAAGGTTACCTTTTGTGTTAAAATTCACCCCGTACGTCAAACGTACCCTAAATTAGTTAATGTACCATAATAAGTATGGCATTTCACTCTTGACCGTTACATAATAATAACAGGTATTAATGTTAGGTACACATTTTTTAACGGATTATTAGAGTGCAAAAAATCGACCAAGCCAAGCCATATTTTAAATTTTTGGTCAGCGCTTTTTCACATCTCCGGCGAATTCTCAATTCAAAGTTGTACTTACAAAAAATCGGTTACGATTCTCAATTAACCGAAAAAACCATATTACATTTACACACGTTAAAACTTTAAACAGGTTATTTTGAGCAGTTGAAAAGACTAGAAAAACATTCAAAAATACAAATTTAATATTTGTCACCCGTTGATATTTACCTATTACATATTTTTATTTATTTTTGATTAATTTACTTTAACAAAAGCTACTCTATTTTTCAAACAGCATAGTAATTTTAATATTACGGTATTCAAAATTTGTCAGTCGACCAATAATGATATTCCAATATTTACAACATTTAACAATTGTATACACTTATTTTATTGTTAAAAATAATTTAATATACTCATATATTATAAATATATCGAATGCCTAATTGGTGAGATAATAATTATCATAAATAATTTTTAGGATATCTTAGAAACTTTTTAAGATAACGTAAAAATAATGATATGTATTATATTGTTATTTAGTCATTCACAAATAATAAATGAAAAATAATATATTTAAAATAATTATTCATTAAAAATAAACAAATTGTGTTCAACGAAAAATTTGAAACAAATTGTTTTGTCATAAATAATCAAATAAGAAACGATTAAACAAAAAGATACATTTTTTTGCTCGCTTCATCTAGATTAAAAAAAAAAAAAATGACTCAAATCAGTATATTATATTGGTTTTACTGACCTAACTTGTTTCATATAGATACTTGTAATAATTACTTGAAGAGGAAAAGAATAAAACGCTTGGCGCCATCATTTAGCTCCACAAAACTAAAAATATCCTTGTTTGCGGGCTAGTCTTGGAGGAGGCTACAGGTTTAAAGTTATTTCAAGATTAAATTTAAGAATGGCTTAAAAAGTATAGAAGTGAACAAATAAGCATTAAGCCGAGATTCAAACTAGAATCAACCGCATGCCGTAGAGGAGCTTAACCGACTGCACCCATAACCAACGCGACGTGTTTGATGTATTACTCGTCGACAACGCAGACTTTTGGTGATACGTTAGGAACACTGTTTGATTGTAATTATAACTTTTGATATTTTTTTATTATATAAACTTCTGCCTATTTCGAAAATATATTATTTTTTTATTTATTAACTTTTTGATATCAAAAAAAAAAAAAAAGAGGGGGTCTGTATAATACACAAGTGGCGATAAATTTTATCAACTTTTTCACAATTTTTGTTCAAAAATGCATCATTAGCAATAACTTAAGCATCACTAAAATAATACCCCCCCCCCCCCAACAAATAAAAATTAAGCAAGTCAAATAAAAAATATTTTCCTCTCTTAGATCTTTACTATACGACTGAACCAAATGTACTTAGCTTTATTTTTTTTTTATCGCTTCTTCATCAATCACAACATATTGTTATACACATTTTGTGCAATTTCAATTTATACAAAATGTCTTACAACATCTCGAGTTTTAGCATTAAAGATTATAAAAAAATAAGTTAAAATAAAATAATTATAAACTCAGATAAGTAGTAACGAGTAACAACCCTAAAATGTATTATGTACATACTTTAAATAGCGCCTCATGTTATATTGCCTAATTGGTAGCAACAAAAAATTACCTCTTCATCATCGCATTCCTCTTCGCTGTCTCCCTCGTCATCACACTCTTCATCCTCTTCTTCTTCTCCGCCTTCGTCTTCTATATATTCTCTCGCGTCCACAAACCCAGGTGCCGTATCGTCTCCGTCATCAAGAGTCGAGTCTAGATCGTTTGACGTTTTTTTCGTCGCCGCGGCCACCTGAGGTTCTACTTGCTGTTCGATTATGGTTTTTGAAACATTTTCTTCTTCGAGATCCTGTACGGCGGTGACGACGCTGTCGTCTACAGAGGAAACCTCAGTGTGTTTTTCATCAGTAACTCCCACACACGGCTGCTCTTCTTCGACAGCGGCCGGCTGACTTTGTTCAGTTTTCGTCGGATCGGGTTCGGGTTGCACCACATTTTCCGATTGCTTATTTTCGGAAAGTGTAATTGTTTCGACGTCGGTTTTATCACTGTCATCCGCCGCGGCTGTCGTTTCAACAGACTTACTGTTGTCTTCGGCGACGGTTATTTTTACGTCAAGTTTTTCACTGTCAGGAACATTTGTTTTGACATCAGTCTTGCTGTCGTTGGGAACTGATGTTTCGACATCAGTTATACTGTCGTCCGTAGCCGTTTTATAACTGTCAGATACATTAGTAACGTCATTACTGGCAACAGCAGGAGCCATACTACTATCAGGAGCATCGGTAGTACTGTCGGGTGCGGCAACAGGGATCGTGGCGATATTATCGCCGTCGCCACTGCTGGGGACGGGCTCTTCAGTCGGCTCCGGTTTGGCAGCAGTTTCTTCGGTTTTCGGCTCGACCGCGATTTTCGGCGGTTCGTCGTCGTCGGCCGCGTCCTTTGTGTCCACCACGACGGCCTTCGCAACGGTTTCGCATGGCTTTTCGGTCTGAAAAAAAAAAAACGAGGGAAAAATGTTTTTTAATTTTCTTCTAACGGGCGCGATTTTTGGGTCGAACATTAAGATTAAAGGGGGGGAGGGTAGATTTAGATTTAGGGGTGGTTATTTCAACAAAAAAAAAAAACCATAGTCGCTTACCGCCCGTTGTGCTTCCACAGCAGCCGCTTCGCCGCTGTCCGAAGAAACGGTGTGTTTGTCGTCGCCACTGACGCCACTGTCCGGTTTTGCCGTTTCCGCGTCCATGTTGAGCGGCGTCTAATACTGAAACGGTCGGCCGCCCCAAAAGCGTAGAAAACCAAATTCGAACCTGTCCGTCGGCGAAAACTACCAACGACAAAGACAACGCGTAGACAAAACCAACCCCTCCTTAAATTATAAAATATTAATATCGACGGAGACGACGGCTTTACAAAGAAAAAAAAACGATTAGCGTTAATCCTTGTGCGGCGGTAACAATAATAATAATGATAATACTAGATTACAATTATTTTAATAACGCGATGGAATTTGAACGTCCGTAATTATGCGTGCATCGGCACATTATCAGAAAAAAAAAGAATACATGCTCGATGCACTGGCAATATTATTCACATTTACAACACACTTTGTACATCGCCCGAACAGAGCTGTTCATGCCTGTTAATGGTTGTTATCAGTGGCGGCGGCGGCGGCGGCGGTCGAACACAATAACAAACGACGGTCGTCATGGAATAGAAACGGGCGGCGGGCGCCAGCCACCAGCGTGGTTTTGGTCATGGAAGAAAAAACGCCATAAATTCTACCCCCAGCGCAAAACCGACGACCATTTCGAGTATTTTTTTTTTTTTTCAATTTTCATACAACATTTTTTCTAATAGTTTTTCTTAAATCGTTCACCTTCAGCAAAATATGTTTTAATGAATTATATTCGAGCTTGTTGGTTTGTAAATTATACTTAGGTTTACTTATACATATGATGTGTAAGTAACTTTAAAGTTTAGCATTTTACTTAAAAGTGCTATACTTTTAAGTGCCTATAACTTTTTAGAGCTTCGAACCAAAAATGCTGACATTTGTATAGCACTTAATTTTACGTATCTAGAACAATTGGTGAAAGATTGGTAATGGGACTTATTTTCACTAGGAGCTGTAAGAACTTGAATTTTTCAAATTTCGTATTTTAAAACTAAGCATAAAATCATATTTTTTTCAATAATTATATAATTTTTTTTTTATAGTGAGTATTTAAGTTATTTAATATGAATGTTAAATTATATCGAATAGTCTCGTTAACCGACATGTCACAGGTTCACATCAAAGCGTTTTCTTGGATAGGTATAAATATGTTGGTATTACTACCTATTAATTAATGATTTACAAGTTAAAAACAAACATATAACTTAGAACTGTGTAATCCAGCTTGAAGAACATAATTTAATTTATGTTTTTCCTAAACTACCTATCTTTATATTGTACTTGCAAAAATAAAGTATTAACTCTTGTATCTATTATAAAATGATTTGCAACTGCCAAAGCATCGAAATTAATAGTATAAAACATTTATTTGTTTAAATTAATTTATAAAAAGTCATCAGCGGTAAATAAAACAAAATTATTTTATAGAACCAAATAAAAGTTGTCAAATAAAAATAACATGTCATTGAAAAGTGTACGTACATCAATTTTTTTAGTGTGCAAATCGTTCAAAACCGCACATTATTTTTCAGGTAAATTTAAAATAAAAATATATTGGAAACAAAATTAAGTTTTAAATGTTATTTTTCTTAAAATGAATTATAATTCTTCTAAAATGTATCATACGTTTAGAGAATATTTAAAAATACAAAATTAAATAAAATATTTAGAAACACTTTTAAAATTTCTTAATATGCCCTATTATTTATATAGTTCTAAAATGTTTTCAAAACGCCACACTATGTCTCCATTTTTTTTTTTTGCATTTACTAAAGAATCTAAACGTGAATTTTTTTATTTAATGCTGTTTGATTATCTTTCTGGTTGGCTTAGAAGTAAAAGTGTGATAAACGAATATTATTTTAAACATTTAGGTACATGGATTTTGGGTGGCTGGTGTTGTACGATGACCTATTTTTTTTAGAAAGTGACCGGTTATCATATTATAGCCGCCGAATATTTTTTTTTATAATCGAATGTGTACTTTTATTTAACAGATATTACAAGTACCGTTATCGTTTATTCGGTAATACGTAGTCGATGGTTTTGTTTCCAATAATGTAAAATAATAAAAGATTCAGATTTAATCCATCCAAATGTCTTTGAGCCGTGCTAATGAACCGATCAAAATTATAACCAATGTCTTTTAGCAATGTTGAATTTTCCATTTTACATATTCTTTCAATAAACCCACTATCGATTCTGGCCTGTTCGTAGTGATTCGGTTCAGTATAATTGCTCAGGATACGGTTTACTTCGCGTGACAATATTCTTACGGTATCGTTTATCTTCCCGTCGTCGGATCCGCGTATGTCACAAATTGCAATTAGTACTTCGTTAAAGATCTGGTCGTCAGTGTAAATAAATCCGATTCCAAAATTTATGCGAAATATAAAAGAATCGTGATCGCTCGGAGCGACGCGTTCTCCGGCTTGGTAAGCAACCAAATGGATCCAAATGTAACTGTACACTTTTGCCTTTATGACGTCCAAAACTATTTCCTGATATTTGATGAACTCCAACGGTTGTGCCGTCCATTCTCCGTTCTCGTATTGATTTTCCATACTCGCGTTATACTTTTCGAATTCATTGTACACACTCTCCCAGTCGGAGCGGAGGCCGGAAATGTCGTAGAACAAATCTCTTTTAAACCTCCACATCGAACTCAGCAGAAGATGTTGGAGACCGATGTGCAGTGTGTACCGTCGTTCGTTGTTCGCGACGAAACGGTGATATTTTTGATCGTAGATTTTCAAAATACCATCAAACAACAGATGACGACGAGCAGCTCCGTTGCTGTAATGTTTTATCGTGTAGTCGTAGTTTTTCATTAGGTATTCGTTTTGTCGGCACAGCGCTATCAGTTTGATTAGGGTTTTGTCGATTTCCGGCAAGTGATTATTCAGAAACGTTTGCCTGCCTAAAGTGAACTCCCGCAGTGCCAGTAGTTTTAAATGCAGTTTCCAAAGCCACGCGCTCACTACGAATTTCCCTTTGTACGCCATGTCTATTATATTGTACACATAATCGGCAATGACTTCCAAAGAGCCTTCGACATCCGGCAAAATGAACTTCAATTGCACGTAATTCGCGCATTGCATTTCTTGTAATTTCCGGTAAAATTTCATTTGAGTGACAATTCGGTTTTGTCGTCGTTGTTGGTCGTTGTGACTGGAGGTCAGTGTTGTTATTTCGTCATCGCTAAACGTAATCGGCTTGGAACACAACGTCTTGGACTTGTTCATTAGCCGAATTAAATCAACCGGATACTGTCCAACGTAGAAGAACTGTTGCAGTACGTCAATCTAGAACATAAAGTACCTCTATTGAAATATCGACAGCGGCTTTATTTCGAGGTTTTTTTTTTTTTTTTTGAAAAGGCAAGACAAAATTATTGTATTTCATTAGTAATAACCGGATAGCTCCTAGGTCCCATGTTGCCAACCGTGTCGCCTTGCTCGGTTTAGGTTTATTTTTATAGTTAGGATCTTTCGTTTGGACATTGGAGGAAAAGACTATTGAGATTTTATGATGTCAATAGTGTTTAATGAAAATATTCAAATTAAAGCAATTATAACTCGAGTAATTAAGACTAGAGGAAAACAAACGGAACAATTTGAATCGTTGGCTTATTATAAAATATTGACTAAAATATACCAGAGTAGACTGAAGACTGTAGGCAGTATATACATTATGGCCGTAATGCTAAAAGTTGAGATAGGATACACTGTAAGTATTTACATACCTAACAATATTAGTACGAGCATGACGGCATCCCATAACTGCAAATATTTAGATTAACCACTGGCCAAATTCAATTTACCCAACTATGCGGTAAGTATTACTTATTTCCATAGTTTTAGTAATTATAAAATATGTCGCCGACAAATATTTCTAATCCTTATACTACATAATAATACAATATATATATTATTATTGTTTACTTGAATATCTTGAGAAACCGTTGAATCCCGTATCGCAGTGGTTATTTCGGAGCCAGTTGGTTTTAGTACAGCCATGTTATGTAACCGTTGACGAGCTCTATACATAAACGATTGTAAATCGTCATCGTCTTTTCCATTTACGTCGGTAGATGAGTAGAAAAGTACTAATTTTAGTAATAAAAAAATAAAGCTTAATTTAACTCTCATAATGATAAAACCAGATCTCGCAGTTATCGACTGTACTGTTATAATAGAGTAGATTGAACAAAAAACATACACGTATAATATATATTATTTCAAAACAAATCTATGCTCAACAACGTCTTGAGTATACAAACATATTTTCGTATTTACCTTTTATGTATTTGAGAGTTAAGTTTTATCAACATGGTACTTTGTAAAAATTCCTACCAGTAAACAGTTACAATAATAATTCTAAACACCAGAAGTGTGTAGTACAATATAAATTATTTAAGTGATTTATTATTATTTTATTTACTTAGAGTGATCCACTTAATATCTCATTGGGATTAATAAATAATGACTGAAACATTTATTTCGATTATTAAGATGTGGTTTAAGACTAAAAGCAAACTTAGGGTCTGATTTGGCTATAAAACATTTTAAAAAATTTCTTCAAAACTATGCGGTTGTTCTGAAAAAACTTGTACATATTGTTACCTGTTGATGCTCGCATTTGCCAATTTTGTTTGTATTTCAAATTTTTTTTTTTTATATATATACAGGTGAGATACCTACGTTGGATTTTGTTATTTGTTTTTATTAATCAGAGCTAGTGCAAACACTGTGTCCAATATGGCTGCGGGTTAAAATCAAATACAACAGACAAGGTAAAACATATTCCCTACAAACAATACAGCGAATTATTCAACCTAAATATTTATACCTGAGCAAAAATCGTATTAAATTCAATTTTCTTACACTTTTGAAAGAAATTACGAATAAAGAATTATGATCTACTGATTATTATTATTATTCGATTCGGAATCTCCAATTTCTTTGCAAAAAAATTTTCATGAATTCATCAGTCATTGGTAGTCAATGTGCTGATGGTTTTATCCATCTTATTAGAACAATGTATTTTCAGCTAAACACACCTACGATTATATTATTATAATTTTTGTTACATTGACGACAAATCGGACATTGAACAGTTTGTTTTATTTTACCTAAATCTCCCCAATTATCTATTTTCGGTCAAAATGAAATAAAAATTATTTCTTTAAATATAAAAACTTATACAACAAATATTCAAGCTATTCAGTATGAATGTCAATTAAATTTTATTGAATCGTCTCGTTAATGCCGCCATGTAACAGGTTCACATCAAAGCGTTGTTTTGGATAGGTAGGAATATACTGGTACCTAGTACCTACCTATCAGTTATTACTTTGTTAAAAACAAACATATTATTATAATCAAGAACCGTGTAACTCAGTTTGAAGAACATACTTTGAACCTGCACTGTATGTTAGTGCATAATATATGCGTTAGGTTATTTTTATTGACATAATTTATTGATTATGGTTAATATTAATTTTGTTACATCGATAGCTGTCGGAAAAATAACTTAACTATCGATTTTCAAAACTATTTTTATCAATACAGTGCAGTAAACACATAAAAATAGCATACATATTTTTATTATAATATTAATCATTTCTGATTTTTTCATAAAAATAAAAAAATTCATGCAGTGAAGTGCTAATTTATGACTACACTAAATTGCCATATTATAATATTTGCGAAAATAAAGTTTTAAATCTTGTATTATAAAATTATTGATGAACTCGAAGAGTTATAGGCAACGTCAAGGGGATTGCATGCGGTCGGTTTTTAAGGAGTTTTGTATAGGCAATATTTAAGAAATAAGAGTTTTTAATAAATTTCGACCGTGTCAATTAATTTTCGGGTTAATTTGTATAAACTTTTAAGTATTATTTTTTATTTACATAATTTGTTCTATTTTGTTCTACCTCACTCATATCTTCCATCATACATTTTTAAATATAATAAATTTAAAAATATTTATTGAAATCTGGTTTTTGCCCAATCAACATTTTTAGCAAATTATTCTCAATTCAAAAATGTAATAAAATATAGTATACGTTACCGTTTAAGTTTCAAAAGTTGATAGCACTTCGGAAAACTCTATAAAAGGTAAATATTTAAACATTTTATACTATTGTACAATAGTGTAAATACAAATGTTTAAAAAAAAAAACCTATAAAATTGTATTAATTATTTTCCGAGAAAATGAGTGTATTACGTTAAATGGATCATCCTGTAAATTGAGGTAAACAGTGTGAAAAACACAAAAAGCCGTGCTGGCTAAGGACTGTGCTTGTCCTTAGGAATAATTATAACTGAAAGTGATAATATCACTTTCAAAGAAACGCTACAATGAGAATTGTTGGATGCTACAACCTGTTCAATATGAACATAAATAATTTTATAGACAATACATCTTGCCGATTTTAATTTTTATCATTTATATTTTAGCTTTTAACTATTGATTTTGTAACAGTGTTTTTTTTTAATTTGACACCACACTTAGGCTTTCTTCAAGATACATAATATTTAAATGTTTTAACTTAAATGACCATGGCGTAGGTGACAACTAGTGATATTAAAAAGACTATGATATACAGAGTTATCCTAATTATTTCATTTCGCAGATATTGCGTATAAATAAACAAAAAACGGTCTTAGCAAATAAAATCATTATTATATTAAATTATTGAAACAAGTTTTTCTCGCCAGAGTAAAAAATAATAATATTTTAAAGGGTACAACACACTCGACGGGTTCGCCTGTAAAATCACAATGATAATAATATAATGAAAATAATGAACGGTCGATAACACCTGACTTTGATTCACAATTTTTAAGTTATTATAGTGAAGTGACTGGGCATTGTTATTTATATCCACACTTAAACTTCAATTGCGCCCAAACTTCACAAGGGTTACACTATTCCAACGCGGGTGCGTGTGCGGTATACACTATGCGTTTGTTTTTTAAGGGGCAATTAATGATGGCAACAAGTTTAACCTGACCATGTTCGTTTGATTTGCAGACCACAGTGTGCGAGGGTAATTCACAAAAAAAAACGCGGTTCTTTGTTTGCACATTAACGAAAAAAGTAGCAATAAATTGTCTGCAAATCGCGCGTACTATATAATTATGATTACTGCACGAGGTCGTTGACACGAATTAAAAATAATAATATTAATTTTCGTCCACAATCCGTTGAAACGCCACCGAGTACAATAATTGTTATTAACAGCACTTTGGTTTTGGCTGTTTTGCCCGTCACACGCGTCCGTCGCCATAACTATTAGATATATTAAATTATTTTTTAATTATTCGATTTCGGTCGCTGTCGCCGTTCTCGTTTCGAGTAATTAACAGAAAGTGAAAAAAGCATATTACACGACACGAACGAGTCGTTTGTTTATTGTGTTTTTTTTACGCTTTTGCTAACGACGATAATGCGAATATTATACCTAATTGCCGTGGGTCGGCACGAGATGCTCGGCCCAGATAGTATTTGCCTGAGAAAACCATTGGAAACCCAAGATTTGTCCATAAACTATCCTATTGTGTAGTGCTGCATTGTGTTCAGTATTATTTCAATGCGGATGGTTCGGGACGAATTTCAGATGAATCTGAGATTAAAAAAACAAAAAAAATCCAGCATAGTGGCGTCAGTGCATAGTGGGGAGGTCACGTTTTGTTCAGACATTATAGTTAACTAAAAGTAATTAAAGCATTTTCGAATAAACGCACCGATACTGTGTATCTGTAGATGACAGAAATACATAATTGTATTGTATTGTAAAAGTTTAAACGTGCTAAAATTAAATTTTAAGTTTTAGGAGGCTGCGGTTGGGGTTAATCGTCTGTCTGTAATAATGCCGTTCTTGCCCGTGTAATATCATGATGAACAATATAATAAAAATATTTTCAAATACCTGTTGAATACTGTTTCGTTGAACACTGTTAACCTAGAAATTTACTACGGTCAAAGTGTAAGTTTCCCCTTTTTTTTGGAGGGGGGGATTTTCCTTAATTAAAAAAAAGTTTGAATATAGATTTTTAAGAATGCATCTAATCCAATAGTGTACCCTTCAGGTAAAATGGCTGATCTATAGAGCTGCTATAAAAAGAAGTCGGTTTTGTTTGAAAACCGTATGAGCTAACACAATTTCTACATAAAAAAATGACTTAAAACATGCAATTCAAGTAACTCTGTATAATATACTATTAACTAGTAGTAGTAAACATAATATTATATGTTATTATAATTCTGAAAATAATGCAATATTATTAGGTCTTAGGAGTGTTTAAGAAATGTTAAAAATCCGTTTAACACAAATATGATTTTCAAGGCCTAGAATCGACGAATTTTGAATGACAAAAAGAATACAATGTTATTTAAACCATTACATGTTTATATTATGGTTCACTATTGTTCCGGCACAGACTTATTACCTACATCCTTTTTACACTTACAGGTTGTAAATATTTTTTTTTTTACTTACAATAAACAAATTAAAATATGTTTTTCCTATGCTTTCCTGTAGACTTTTTTTTTACGGTATTTTCACACTCTTTGGCAGTTCAATGTCTGCGAATCAATGTTAATCGATTATTTTCACAATATTTAGATTATCCGAGGTCAGTTCGAGGTAGTAAATTCGGATATGACAACTCGTGGCCTGTATCTTGATACAACTGGTACGGCACACCGTCTTGACAGTCTGGGAATTTTTTCATTATAGCCGACACTCCAAATAGGTATTTACAACAACAATAATAATAGTAATTGTCAGCCATAATCGCCATTGTTGCTGTTCCGAACCGTTTGATGTGTTCAGTCGGCAAGGTGAGCCAGGAGATTCGCTTGGCGATTACCGGGCCGGATATTCGTGCGAGGTATACATCTGCACGTTATACCAAGAGCACTATGTCGTTGGGCCAAGGCGGATAGTCACCGGATACAAAAAGAAACAAATCGTACCTACTGCCAAGAAATAATATTTAATATTATCCATCGTTCGTACGCACTACGGAAGTAGAAACATAATATGTATATCTAAATCAAATTGAAAATGTATAACATCCAAAGAACAATATATACTAATACACATTTTACCGTACCTACGAGACTTAATGTTCTTTAAGTTTATGTTCCGAGCTCGAACGAACGTGCG